ACAACCGGCCCTGTACTTGCAGCAGGAGCATCCCAGCCCTGTGGGTCCCTGTGGGACCGGGAACCCCACAAAAAACCCCGTTGAGGTGGACGCGGCTCCAGGAGGTGGGGAAGGGGAAACTGAGGCACGGAGCGGGAGCCGCCGATCCTAGTGGGGTGGGAAAAATTCCCGCTCCCCATCACCGCGGGGCTGTTGTGGCAACGCGGCCCCTTCTCCCGGCCCTTTTTTGGGGGATGTGGGTGAAAGTTGACGGAAAATCTGACGGGGGCGGCGTGACGCTCGCTACCTGCAGCCCTCCAGGAACGGGGCCCGGATCCCTCGAGAGGAAAAACAGCCCCCGCACCGCCCGACCTTGGCCCCCCCTCACCCGTCCCCTACTTGGCTCGGGTGCACCCCCTCCCTCGCCAAGCACCCCATGGGGTGGGGACACCGCGAGCACCCCATAGCGCCCCGCACCAAGACCTCCGTGCCTCAGTTTCCCCATCCCTGCCCGCTGCAGCCCCCCCACGTTCCCCCTATTTGTCCCCCCCCCCCCCGGCCCTATAGCTGGTCCTTATCTCGCTGCAGCCGGCACAGCGCGGCACGGGGGGGTCTTATCAGCTGGATGCCGGCAGCTCTGGCTGTGCCAGGCCAGCACGGCCCCATAGGACGAACCCCGGCCCCATAGGACGAGCCCTGGCCCCATCCCCGGACCCCGTCCCATAGCCCCGTCCCCGTCCCTGAGCCCTGTCCCCAAGCCCCAAGCTCCATCCCCGAGCCCCATCCCTGACCCCAAACCCCATCCCATAGCCCTGTCCCCAAGCCCCATCCCCAACCCCAACCCCTGTCCCCATCCCCAACCCCAACCCCAAACCCTGTCCCCGTCCCCAACCCCAATCCCCATCCCTGTCCCCATGCCCCGTCCCCATCCCTGACCCCAAGTCCCTGCCACCGGTGGCGCACCGAGGGGCTCGGCACCCTTTTTTCCACCAGCCCCGTTTCACCATTCCCCATTTCCCCAAATTATTATTATTTTTTTATTACCCACGAACGAAAATCACACAAAAAAAAACCCACCCTCCCCCGGGACAAACGGGACCCAGATTTGCCATTTCTGGACCCAAACCAGCCCCTATTGGGGCCTGCCCAAGCGTTTGGGGTCAGGGAGCCCCTGGCACCGCTCGGGGTTTATCTCCCAGCCCCAGCCCCGTGGCGCTTATCTCATGGGGTCCAGCTGGGGGACGTCAGGGCACCCCGTGTCCCCAGGACGTCACGTCCCCATCCCATACCCACAGCTCCGTCCCCCCCCCTCCTCACTATGGGGCTTTTTTTGGGGTGCTGGGACCCCCACGGCACAGCCTCCCCCCCGCACCCATGGGTGCCAGGCTCAGGGTGCCCTCTGCCCACTGCCCCCCACCCAGCTTCGCCCCCACCCGTGCCTCAGTTTCCCTTTGTGGGTTGATGCCCCCATGGGAGGGGATTTTTTTTTTTTTGGGGTGGGGGCCACCGAGCCGCTGTCCCCGTGCCCGGCTGGCACGGCCGCGGGGCCGGGCTGCCCTCCAAGCAGGTGAAGGGGGAGCCCGGCTCCAGCCCAAGTAGGGGCAGGAAAATCTTTATAGGGTGGGGGCCGCAGCCAGATGGGGGTCCTGGGGGGCACCCCCAAAATAACCCCACAGCGCTGCGCACCCACCGGGGGGGGCACCCCCAGACCCCTTTTTTGGGACCTGCCCCAGCCCCCGGCGTGGATCTGCCCTGCTCAGGGGCAAGAGGAAACGCTGAGACCCTACAATAAACAAAGGGGTGGGGTTTTTGGGGTGTTTTCTTTATTTTTTTATTGTTTTGTTGTCCCACTGCGCCATTCGGGGAAGGGTGCCAGGCGGGGCCGGTGGCCACCTCGCCGGGGCCACTGCCAGCCCCCTTTGGGTGCCAGCCGAGCCCCGGAGCTGCAGCCTCAGCACATCTGCGCCCGCGCCCCGCTTTATGGCCCCGATAAAAACTGATTCGGGCCATAAAGAGGGGAGGGGAGGAAAAAAAAAAAAAAACAAAAAAAACATAAAAACAAAAAAAACAACACTTTGGCTGCGGGGGGGGCACGCCAACTCGCGCCGTGCGCCGCAGCGAGTGGCACCGTGCCCCGGCGCACCCGGGGGGCAATGGGGTCGGGTCTCAGCCCCACATCACCCCCAGCCCCATACCGGCCCCATTGCTGGGAGGGGGCTGGGGGGGGGGATTTATTTGCCCCCCCCCTCCCTGCCCAGCTGTCCCTCCCCAGGCAGGGATTTTTCCAGCGAGCTGTTTACCACGATGCGAGCTGGGGGCGAGCCACCGCTGCGCCCTACAAGGACTCAACACCGAGCCCCCTGCAATGGGACACTGCTGCCAGCACCGGGAGCGGCTCGGCCGTGGCTAAATTGGGCTAAATTGAGCTATTTTTGGAAAAAAAGGGCTCGAAGCCCCTCTGCGCCCTGCCAAGGGGGACCCCGCGCACAAGGCAGGGGGTTGGGGGTCTCGCGTCCCCTGGAGCCACCCCGAGGGCTGGAGCGCTGTCCCTCTGTCTGTCCGTCCCCGTGTCCGTCCCGCACGATGCCACCCACCCTGTGCCCCCCCCACCCCACCCTGGGGGCTGCTGCGGGATTTGGGGCTCCGTTGCCCCCCCCCCGGGACGAGCAGAAGGAACCAGTGGGGGTCCCAAGGGGTCCCAAGAGGCGCTCCCCACTGCGCACCGGGGCGAGCAGGGACGGGGCTGGGGCCGAGCCGAGGCCCCAAGGGGACAAAATATTTTGGGGGGGCCCAGAGCGGAGCCCCCCCCATGCACCCCCCACTCCTGATGCCGCTCGGCAGCCCCGCAGCTGGCTGCTCGCCCCGGCTGCTGGCACGGGGCCCGCGCTGGCTCCGGCCCCATTGCGCGGCGGCTCCAACTGGGCCAAAGGTCCCGGGCGGCTCAGCCCCCCCCACGGCCAAGCCGCAGCCCCGGGGGGGGGGACGGCGACGACCCCAAAACCCTCAGCGGGGTGCAGAGGGGCTGCTCCGGGCACCGGGATTTGGGGTCCCCATGGATTTTGGGGTGCCTCATCCTGCCTTCGCTGCTCCGTGCGCCCGGGGTGCGCCCCTCGGCACCCCCCCAGCACCTCGGGGTCGGGGCTCAGCTCCTCGCCTCCGCATTTTTTTACCATTTATTGTTTTTTTTAACCATTTATTATTATCTTTTTTACCATTTATTATTTTTTTAACCATTTATTATTTTTTTCACCGTTTATCATTATTTTTTTCCACCATTTATTATTTCCCCCCCCCTCCCAAAGAACAAATACCCGTGTCACTTGATCCGGGCCGCAGGTTTCCAGGTCACTTGTTTACGGCCGGGTTTTGGGGGGGGGGGCTCTGCCAGCTCCAATTTTTTTTTTTTTTTTTTTTCCTTTTTCACTTTCTAGTCCTCGATGTCCTCCTCTGGAAACTATTTGCTCGGCAGCTGCCTTTGCTCGGCGGTGCTGCCGGAAGGCGCTCGCGGCCCCCCCCGACTATTTTGGCTGCGCTGCGGTCGCTGCCTTCCCCTCCTCGCCTCCTGCAGCAAAGTGGGGCAAAGGCCACGGCGAAAAGGGGGGGGGGCTCATCCTAGGGCTGGGGGGGGGGCGAAAATCCTTGGGTGAACGGGCAGGGTCGCGATGCCAACGCGAGATTTTTTGGGGCGCTGCCCCCCCCAAAAAAAAAAAAATCCGGGTTCACCCTGGGCGCAATCTGGGAAAGGAGCCGCGGGGTGCGCAGGAGGCTGAATTTATCTTGCCCCCCCCCAGGAGCCCTCCAAATTCTGCCGGGGGGGATTCGGTTCGCAGCGGGCAGCCGGCCCGAGCGCTGACATTCGCCCGCCGACCTTTACAAGGTGGTGTTTTTTTTTTTGGGGGGGGGGGTGGCACCGCCAAGACCTGCTGAACTTCTCCGCTTTTCCGTTTAATTTTAGCTGCGCTCCCGGCGAGCTCGCCAAGGTCACTCCTGGCCCGGGCCCCCCCGCCCCGATCCAGGTTGGGAAGGTGCAGGCCCCCCAGTCCTGCACCCCCGTCCCAAATCCTGCACCCCTGTCCCAAATCCTGCACCCCCTGACCCCAGTCCTGCACCCCCATTTCCCAAATCCTGCACCCCCTGTCCCCAATCCTACACCCCGATCCCCAATCCTGCACCCCCATCCCAAATCCCGCACCCCCGTCCTCAGTCCTGCACCCCCCTGTCCCCAAACCTGCACCCCCCTGTTCCCAATCCTGCACCCCCATCCCCAAATTCTGCACCCCTGTCCCAAATCCTGCACCCCCATTTCCCCATTCCTGCACCCCCTTCCCCAATTCTGTACCTCCTGTCCCCAATTCTGCACCCCCCTCCCCAGTCCTGCACCCCTTTCCTCAATCCTGCACCCCCCTGTCCCCAAACCTGCACCCCCATCCCCAGCCCTGCACCCCCGTCCCAAATCCTGCACCCCCACCCCAAATCCTGCACCCCTGTCCCAAATCCTGCACCCCCATCCCCAATTCTGCACCCCCATCCCCAATTCTGCACCCCCTGACCCCAATCCTGCACCCCCATTTCCCAAATCCTGCACCCCCTGTCCCCAATCCAGCACCCCCATTTCCCAAATCCTGCACCCCCTGTCCCCAAACCTGCACCCCTTGACCCCAAACCTGCACCCCCCTGTCCCCAGCCCATTTCATCCCAGCCCTAATCCTGCACCCCCTTGACCCCAATCCCGCACCCCTGTTCCCAATCTTGCACCCCCATCCCCAATTCTTCACCCCCATCCCCAATCCTACACCCCCAGCCCCAGCCCCCCCCCCCCCCCCCGGCTCTCAGGAGGCTCTGGGAGCACCCCGGTGCCGATGACCCTTTGTGGGGTGCAGCAGGGATTCGGGATTTGCCCCCTCCCCATCATCATCAGCAGGACACGGGGTGGGGTGGGGGGGCTGATCCCCCCCCCACCCCACCTCAAACTTCAGCCTCTGCCCCCCACAACCCCAAACCCTTGCTCCGAAGCCCCCAAATTACGGGGGCGACCCTGAACGGGGGGGCCCAAAACCACCTCCCTCCACCCCTATAGGGCCCGAATCCTTCACCTGGGCCCCCCCCAGGGGGAAAAAACCCCAAAACTGGGAGCCGGGGGGGCCGTGGCGCAGCAGCGAAGGGGTGAAAATAGCGGCGAGCAGCAGCGCACGAGGAGCCCACGCGCCCGCTGCGTGCAGGAAGAGGCCCCCCCTTGCCCCCCCCCCCCTTCCTCTTCTTCCTCCTCCTCTGGGGAAACCGAGGCACGGAGCGAGGTCACGGCAGCGGTTTTGGGGTCCTGGGGGTGCGGAGGTTCCCCCATTAAATTATGGGGTGGGGGGGGGTCGGTGAGGGTCCCCCAGCCCCGTGCCCAAAGTCCTGGGTGTGGGAGCTGGGCACGGGTGGGGTCATTCCCAGCCCCAAATTCCCCCCCCCCCCCCAGCTTTGACTCACCCCATTACTCAGCCCTGGGGCTGTTTTTTTCCTTGGGGTGGGGCCGGATCCTCCTCCTCGTGCCCCATTAATGGGGGGGGTCCCGGTATCCGTGAGCCCCCCCCCTCCCCAAGACAGGGCGCAGACCCCCGGAGCTGGGCAGGGGAATCGCCACCGCCTGGGGACCCCCCCCCCCCCCGCTGGTGGCTTTGGGATTTTTTTTTTTTGGGGGGGGGGGGACACCCATGGGGCATCTCTCGGTTTTGGGGACACCCCAAAAGAGGGCCGGGGGGGGGTGTGGGGGGGCAAACCACACAAAAATTGCAGCTTGACCGTTTCCAGCAGTTTTAGCACCGATTCCCACCTTGCCCCCCTGGGGGGGGGGAAACAGGCCACAAACGGGCTCTGTGGTGCCCCCCCCCACCCCAATATCAGCACCCGTCACCCCCCCGGGGACCCCCCCAGCCCCCCCAGGGCTCCAACGCATTTTTAGTGCCTGGGAGCTGAAAAACCAAAACCATGAACAGGAACCTCCTGGGGGGGGGCACGGGGGGGTCACGGCACTTCCCCATCACATGAGGTCCCCGTGAGTGCCCCCCCCCAGCCACTACCGGCTTTTTTTGGGGGGGGGGGTACAAATCACCCCCACACCCCCCCAAAGCTATGGGGTGGCGGCAGATAAATGGGGGGGCTGTGGGAATGGCCCCCCCCAAAATAAATCCCACTTTGCATCCTCCTGCTCCTGCACCCTATATCGGGGGGGGGGGTCTGGGGGTGCCATTTGTGCCCCCCCCCCCCAAAAAAAAAAAACAAAACAGGTGTGCAGGGCCCCCACCCTGCTCCCAGCACCCAAGGGTGCTCCCAGCACCCAAGGGTGCCCGGCCTCTGCTATGGGGCACCCATAGGGGTTAAAATGGGGGGGGGGGTTGAAGGGTGTGGGGGGGGGGATAACGTGGCTCGGGGGCAGGTCCCGGCCCATCACGCCACCCCACAACAGCAGGTGAAGGCGCCAGCAACCCTACAATAACACCAGGCTGCTCACGAGACCCTACAATAACAACGGCTGGGCAAACAACCCTACAATAACTAACCCTAAATAAACACCCAGCCCTGTTTGCCCAGCAGCTCCGCGCCGCCATAATGGGGGGGGGGGGGCCCCGGGGGGGGGCAATACGGATTTGGGGTCCCTGTAGGGTTTTGGGGGGACCCTAAATTATGAGGGGACGCCAGCGGGCTTGGGACCCCCCCTCTGCAAGGCAGGGGCCAGCCCTAGAAGGGGGCAAGGAGCTGAGCCCCCCCCCCCCCCGAACCATGCAGGGATGGGGGCAGCTCGGGACCCCCCCCCCTTATTTATTTATTTTTTTTATCCCCCCCCCCCAATCCCAAAAAGTTGGAGGCCACAGGATACAAAATGAAAAACCCCAATTTCCCCCACACCCCTCCACCCCCCCATCCCCTGCATCTCCCCCCAGCCCCCCCAGCCCACCTTTGAAGCGCCCCGGCCGCCGTTTTCCAGAGCATGCAGCCGCTGTGCACCAGTTTGCGCCGCAGGAGCTCGTCCCTGCCGAAGAGGCCGGCGCGGCTCTCCCACTGCAGCGGCGCCTTGGCGCGCCCGTCCACGCGCCGGTAAACGTCCCAGAGCCGCGCGTTCATCTCGCAGGCGTGCACCTCCTCGTTGACCCCCGAAATCAGCTCCTTCACCAGCGTCAGCGCCCGCGACAGGTCGGCCGAGTCGCCCTCGTTGTCTGGGTGCATGCAGGAAGGGGGCGAGGGGAAGGTTTGGAGACCCCTCTCCCCGTTGTGTGAATGAGGACCCCGCTGTGCCCTCGCTGCCCCCTCCCCCCCCGGTACCTTTGGAGTTTTTCAGGATGCGCTCGATGAGCACCGGGTACTTGGTGATCCGCTGCGTCACCAGCAGGATGCACTCGGGCACGCCGTGGCGCCGGAGCAGCGGGGACCGTGCCATCCTCTGGGGGGGGGGAGAAAGGCAAAGGGGGGGCACGCCGTGAGCTGCTCCAGCCCCCCAAGGGCTCACCGCCACGGTGGTGCAGGCACCGGAGAGGGAGGGAAACTGAGGCACGGGGGTGGGGGGGGGATGCTGACCGGCTCTCCCACCTGCCCCACCGCCTCTCCATGGGCACAGAGCCCAGAACTAGCGGGGGGGTCCCCGGTACCCTGCCCCCAGCACCCGGGGGGGGACCCCTGTGCCAAGGCAGCCGCGTGGGGACGCGCCCTCACCCGCACGAAGTGCTGGAAGCGCTTGTCGCGGGCGAGCAGGTCCTTGTACTCCTTCACCGCCTTGGTGTGCCTGCTGCAGAACTCCGAGTAGGCTTTCTTCATCTGCTCCGCGCTGCTGCCCGAGAACTGGGGAGGGGGGCGCAGTTCAGCAGGCTGAGCCCCCCCCCCGGCACTGGCACAGCACCACCCGGCCCGGGGGACCCCCCACATCACCCAACCTGGCCCACGAGGATGTCCCCCAGGCGGTTGATGACGAAGTTCTTGTTGCTTCCTGGGCCAGCGAGTCGCGGCGGCGCTCCAGGAGCTGGGCCAGGAAACGCTCGTGGATTTGGCTGAGTTCGTCCACGCAGGGGAAAATTTTCTGCACCGTGCCCGGGTCCAGCTGCAGCTCCTCCAGCATGGCCCTGCGGAACACGCTGCCCATGATCTTCAGCGTGCGCACGTGGTGGATCTCCGTCTGGATCAGCTCTGCCGTGGGGCAGCGGGGTGGGGGGTGAGAAGAGGGCAGAGCCGTGGTGTCCCGGTGCCCCCCCGGTGCCCCCCGCTCTGCCCCCATCTCCGCAGCCTTGTCCCTGCGTCCCCAGCCTGTCCCCGTGTCCCCAGCCTTGCCCCTGCGCCCCCATCTCCCGCCCCCCTTCCCACACCTCTGCCACCCACCCGGTCCCCTGCCGTGCCCCCGCCGCCCCCATTTCTGCATCCCTCGCGTGTCCACCCACCCTCCTGTCCCTTTCCCTGTCCCCTCATCCCTGCGCCTCTGCCCTGTCCCTGTCCCTCACCCTGCCCTTGTCCCCCCCCAGCTCCGTGTCCCCATCCCCACATCTCCAACCCGTCCCCGTGTCCCCATCCCCGTGCCACCCCACAGCCCGCGCCCCCGCTCTTGTCCCCACGTCTCCCACCTCTGCCTACCCCCGGGGGTCCGGACTCTGGAACCCCCTTCCCCGTTTTGTCCCCGTGCCCTGTCCCCTCTCACCGTAGATGACGTCCTGGCGCTTCATCACATCCATCTTGTGCTGCTGCAGGAAGCTGTTGTCCACGGCCAGGCTCCACGAGTCCGCCTCGAAATCCTTCTCGTCCGTCTCGAAATCACTCAGCAGCTGGTTGAGGATCACGTCGGGGCCTGGAGGACCAGGGGGGCATTATGGGGGTGTCACCGGGGGGGTCCCGTGTCCTTTTTTTCCCCTTTTGGGGGGGTCCCCACCTTCGTCGATGAGCGACTCGACGGAGAGCGTGCGGTTGCGCATGTTGAGGGAGTCGGTGGACTGGGACAGGATGCGCCGAATCCCCAGGG